CCCCCCCCTCCACTTCTATGATAAGGAAAAGTTATATGGTCATGTAGGTACCTCCTAGTGAGACCGAGACAAAGTCTTACTGTTTACATACTCGCTCAATTAATGCGTAGACTCTTGTATAAAAAAGATATACTTATCATCACAACAGGACTGAAAACAGTATCCTTAGCTATTGATTGTCTTTTTGTCTTTTTGTAATAGATGTAGACATAGATATACATATATCCCAACCATGCTACCTGAGGTACATTCAAATTCTGTACTCAGGTACTTACTTACCATACAGCAGCGGTGGAACGTTCTCATATTGTGATGGATAATGGTGATGATGCTGCTGCTGCTGCTGCTGCTGCTGCTACCAGAAACCTGTACCTTCGCTCAAGGAGGAAAGAGGATACATTATATACCCACGGTAGGCTCAGATCTACATGTACATGTACGTGTATCAGCTATGTCGGTTAGGGGAAGGCGTGAGGTAGATACCTGTACTACTAGAAGCTGGGAAAAAGAAGCTGGGGAGAAAAAGATAAAAGATGGAATTGGATGCTGGTACACATTTGTGGTCCTCGAGGTGGAACTGTTTCTTTTATTTGGCCATTAATGAAAATCGGTGGAGTATGGTATATCTGCACACAACGCCATGCAACGTCTCGTAAATTCATGATTTTGCCTCTAATCACCACTCTCATCATCATCGTCATCGCGTCATTGACCCTCTGCTTCGCGGTCCAAATGCTCCCAGGTGATGCTGCCCACGCTCCCTGATAGTCTCTCTTCACTCGGCTCTCGCGTCACAGCTGGTTTGGACGACGACGAAGACAAAGAAGACGGAGCCATCATCCAGGCAATCAAACCCGGGGGCAAGATGCTGCCAATAATGTCGTACGTGAGGCTGCCTCGGCCAACATGGAGAGACCTCCTCGGAGACTTGGCGACAAGCTGATCAAATACAGCATGGTATAGCTCTCGCACTGGAGTCGGTCGCAGTCGTGGAGGAGGTACACCATCTCGACGTTGTCGTGATGTGGTGGCGGGAACATCGATATGCCCGAGCTTGAAATGCGACACTTTGACGCCGTCTTGTCGGGTTTCTGCAGATAAGGTGGCGAGAAATCCCTCTAGCGCGCCATATACAGTGCTTTCTACTGAGTGCAATGGCAGCTGCAGAGCCGGAGTCACCGATGGTGTGAGAAGCAGAATATTCGCCTGGGATGAGAGGACAGCGGGAAGCAGAAGCTGCGTCGTGGTAATCGTGTTCAGAATGTTCGCATTCAAGGCATCGCTCCAGTCCTCCGATGTGATGTCCTCAATCTTCAGAGGCGCACTTTGCGAGGTATTCGGCACCAGTAACACACCCTTGAATTTCATTTTATGCGGTTCCGCATCCTCAAATACTCTATGCTCGCGGTCCAACATGCTCCGGAACTTCAGCAACTGCTCTTGTGCGGTATATGGGTCCTCCGGGTGCACCGAAAGAAAGTGCAGGTCTGCTCGAGATTGCGATCGGACGTATTGTTCCTCTTCGGGCGTGTTCGCGATCACGTATACCACAAACCCTCTCCGTTCTAGATCCAAATATAACGCGCTGGTGAGAGGGTTCGCCACCGCGCCCGCGACGACGACCACGTCTGTCCTTGCGCCGTTGGTCGATCTCTGAGCGCGCCGTTTGCGCCTGGAATTCCTGCCTTGACTATAGACGACTGCGCCGATGGAGCCTGTCACGAGGAAGGCGACGGCAGCAGCGGTGATGGCCTTGTGTCGTGATATCCATCGTTCAATCAGTTCGTATGTGGTCGGCGCTGGTATTCGTCTCGACGGGATAGGCAATTGTGGTTTGCTGTAGAAGCTCTCGCGGAGCTGTCCAGCGACTTGGTCGAAATGGCGCTCGAGGCTGGCGGTGATGTCGTCGAACTGGCGCTGCGCATATTGCACGAGATGTTGCGCATCGGTCATGGTGATGAATGCTGTGGGATTGTACTGGAGGTGAGAAGAGTTTCTGTCGTTGTCTGGGATGAGAGAAATGTGGAGGTGCAAGCGATGATGGAAGCGATGATGAAAGCGGGGAGATGCCCGGGGGGGTTGTCGTCTTTTGACATGGCATGAAACTAGAAGTGAATTCGGAACATTCACAATGTGATGGGCAAGGAGAAGTGGCCACTACATATATTCCTCACGAGTCGAGTCGTTAACAGACATGTCACTGCGCGGTGAGTGCATGTCTGAAAGCGTGCTTATTTGAAGAAAAGAAAGAACTGTTAGGGGGCATGAGTCGATATATTCCACTTTAGTACCACCAGCTGCAATCTATGCGCTCTACACTATTATTACATCGACACTCTCGGCTGAGCACCGCATTGTAGACCAGGTTGGTGCGTGTGAGCGTGCATCGCATTCTTCTTAGCATGCGGGTGGCGGTCAATACCTCTCCTCTTGGCCTTGGCGCCAGAGGCTCTGAGTGGAATATCACTCAGATCCATTGTATACTTCGCAACTGAGGCTGCAATACCCTTGGTATTGATCAGGAAAGGCTCGAACGCCAGGTTCGTGTAGTTGTCGCCGACCAGATGGTAGTTGGGATCGTATGCGACACCAGCTTGTCCGCCCCACCAAATCGCTTCTTGCTCAGTCTTGACCTCTTCAGCGCCAGTGAAGATGCCGCCGGCTGGAATGTCAACACCAGCGGCAATGAATGGGCCGTAATCACTACGTCCGTTGAACTCCGAATCTTTCGTCGGGATGCCTTGTGCACGGAACCAGTCTTGGAAGAAGTGCTCAATCTTGTCCGACCCAGGTGGTCCGGAGACATTGAAGGAGCTTCCATCACCATCGTAGAGAGCATACTGCCAGTTAGACGATGCAATCATGTCAAAGTTGAGGTAAAGCCTGATTTTTTCGCGTTCATCGACTGGTAGAGTGTTGACGTAGTACTCCGAACCGAGAAGACCATATTCTTCGGCCGACTGAATGAAAGGACCTGTTAGCGAAGTACAAAGCAGCGCAAAGCAGTGAAGCACGTACCCAGAAGCCAAGTCTCAGCGCGTTCTTGAGTTCGTATTTGCCCTTCGAAAGTTGAATGGCAGTCTCCAAGATGCCTATTAATGATTAGTATAGCCCAGAATTGCTGGGGTAATAGCGTGAAGCTCACCAATCGTTCCACTGCCATCATCGTTGATGCCAGGACCATCAAATACGGAGTCGGTATGAGCACCAATCACAACGACGTTGTTCTTATCGCCACTCGTCGAGTCCGCAATGATGTTATAGGTCGTCCGGTTTTCCACAACACTGGTGATCTGGAGTTGCCCCTGCAGCGGCAGTGCTGCGAGAATGGCAGTAGAATTTTCTTGGGAAACGCCTCCGGTTGGCGCATAATCTCCAGCACCTCCGAGGGTTCCGGCGAGAGTGCCAGGGACATTGTTGTAAATAACAGCACCGACGGCACCGGCGCTCTTAGCCAGAGTGGACTTTTCAGAGAACGGACATGTGCCTCGGGAGATGAAAGCGATCGCGCCCGTCACCTCAGCTGGGTAGTCGGTAGCATTGCACCCGACATTGGCGACAGCTACAATGGGGGCTGTGACTGAACCCGAAGTCGATGATGAGTAGGTGAAGACACCTAGTGGGTACGAGACATTCCCGGCGGAAAAGGTGCCGGAACCTTGAGAGTAGAGCTCAGTGAATGGCTGCCGGCTGAATGTCCAAAAGTCCTTCTCTTGTCCTAGGTAATCCTCGATGAACTTGAGAGTGTTCTCGTGTCCCGGAGATCCAAAGACACGATTCCGCTCAGGAGTATCATACGCAGCCGCCTCAAGCTCCTGGGCTTTCTGCTTCAGAGCAGCCTCCGTGATGGAGTCTTGCAGTTTCTTCGAGTCCACATTCGGCGTGACCTGGTATTGTCTGGTGTCGAGCTGGTTCTCGTGGGCACTTGCAAGTACAGCAAGAGCCGTTGCCAGGAAAGGAGAGGACCGCACCATGGTGAAAGTGTTCAAGAATTAAAATGGTAGCATATGCAGGACTCACCTGGAGTGTTGGAGAGCATTATATAGGATTTTTTGGGTCACCATCCCGTCTCTCACTTCTTCTATCGGCCCAGCCGAGAATGGAGGAGGCCGCCTCGTGCGTACCTGCATATGATTGTCGATACACTACTCACCGTGCCGGATGACCAACCGCTGATGCATTCGTGCAGAGATCTTGCAGCATATGAAGGCCAATCGTCTGCTCCGGTTGGACAGCATGAAGTTCTACGGCTTGAGTACGATATCGGGGTCGACGACCTAGCGTGAAGCAGAAAATTTATGAAAGTGGTATGTTACCTTGTGGCGGTGATAGCAGAACGCCACTGGAGTGTAGACGGAAGCAGAAGGTCAAGACTCTGATCGTGCTTTGAGAAGCTGGGCGCCAAGACTTCTCCACCACCAGGAGAAGCTCTGCCAGTCAATCGCTCCATACCAAGAGATGCTTGTGACCAATCAGAACCCCTAGAGTTGCTGTAATAGGAAGGAGCTGGTTTTCTGTCGTACCGCAGATACACGATATCACCTCGCAGTCGTGAAGTGTTGGGAGCATGTTACACCAGGCCAGCGGGACTAGGTAGACACTGTGGTGGTATCGCCAGGAGTAGGCAAACATGCATTCTCACATTCTCACTGGCTGGGTAGCTGCAAGACCACCTCCTCGTGCAGGTGAGTTGTGAGCATTATCCAGGCAGTGCGTGTTCTACCCTTCTATTGCTCTTCCACGCAGGACTCCACCACCACTGCATCTCATCTGCATGGGCGTTGCCTGGCCCTCCGCCAATGCCTTGACTCTTCCTTATCTTCCCTCTCTTCGTCCTCTTCGTCCTCTTCGTCCTCCTCTTTCTCCCCCTCCTCCCCCTCCTCCACCGGCACCTCTTCTTCCTCCTCCTCCTAGTCCCGAGAGCGAATGTCTGGAGGAGATGTCACGTCGGCGCGAGGGATATCGTGGTGCAATGTGGGGGTCGCGATGGGTCGTTGTCTGATGAAATGAACACAGGCAACTGCAGCTCAGCAGAAGCTGATGTCGAGACACTCGATAGAATTACAGTGAGGAAGTCAGCCGTCCCACGTGTTTCTTGCTGACTGTACACCTGATTGGCCCCCTATGCTTCCTCTTCCTCTTCCTCTTCCTCTCTGCCACGTCAACCACTCCAAAATTGAAGAACACACACACATTCCCCCTCAGAATGATCTCCCTCGTTGCTTTCGACTTGGATGGAACACTCGCGGAAAGTAAACAGCCACTCAAGGATGCAATGGGCGACGCTCTAGCGAGCCTGCTCTCGGTAGCACATGTCGCAGTAATCTCTGGAGGCGACTGGCCGCAATTTCAGAAACAGGTCGCAAGTCGCCTACCAAAGCATGCAGACCTGTCCAAGTTGTGGCTCATGCCTACTACGGGTACCAAGCTCTATACGTACAAGCACTCGGAATGGCAACCCATCTACGCAGAGTTGTTTAGTGCAGAGGAGAAACAGGCCATTCTGACAGCATTCGACGCCTCACTGGCGGCTACAGGCTTCGTTCCAGAGCAGACCTGGGGTGAGAGAATCGAAGACCGCGGCAGCCAGATCACATTTTCAGCTCTGGGCCAGCAAGCACCTGTTAGCGCCAAGGAAGTATGGGATCCTGACTTTGCCAAACGGAAAGTGATCCAAGCAGATTTATACAAGCGCTTGCCCACGCTGTCGATCAATATGGGTGGAGCAACTTCCATCGACATTACGCAGAAGGGTGTCGACAAGGGATATGGACTCAAGAAGCTGCGCGACGCAAGTGGAATCCCACTCGAGAAAATGGTCTTTATCGGAGACGCCATCTTTCCAGGTGGCAATGACTATCCTGCAAAGCAACTCGGTCTCGATACAATTCTCGTCAAGAATCCAGAAGACACACTTGCTCAAATTGCCAAGATCGTCACATCGATCAAGTCGACTTCTTCATGAAGCCCGATGTGTTGTGACAATGAAGGCATGAGCAGTATTCATCGACGCACGATCTTTGACCTCCAAATACAATAAGCTCCATTACATCACCACTTCTCCATCATCGGACGAATATCGATCTCGTTGGTAAAACACCTCCGACTCTGCAGATGTAGATCCCAGTACGTCTGCGCAATGGCGTCTGGGTCGATGGTCTGTTCTGGAGACTTATCCTTATGAATATCCTTGCCCCAAGGCGTATCAATAGCTCCGTCGACAATGGCGTGCACTACATGAATGCCTCTAGGTCCGAACTCCTTTGCTGCACTGATAGCAAGCGCACGCAGACCATGTCTGGGCACACACATGACAGCAGAGCCAGGATTTGCTTTGACAGCAGCAGTCGATCCTGTGAAAAACAGGCTTGGTGGCGTCGCAGGATTACTTTCTGCATGCTTCAGCAGAAGTGGGAGAGCTGACTGTGCAAAAAGCAGGGCCCCTTTGCTGTTTGCATGTAGGGTCAGCAGATGATACACTCAACCTTTGCACCCAATGTGTGGCCTTACACGCTGATACTGTAGCCTCCATCCAGATCTTCCATTGTGATATCAAGCAATGGTTTCCTCACAAACCTGCCAGATGCATTGAACACAGCAGCTTGCACGGCAATGTTGGGAAATGCTTCCTCGATATGAGAGAAAGCCGCTCGTACACTTCCTGGATCGGAAAGATCGGTGCTGATACCCAATGCTTTGCCTCCATTTTCATTGACTTCGCGTTCGACAGGTTGATAGCTTGCGGGCTTGCGAGCGAGGAGTACGACGATGTACTCTTTGGCAAAGCGACGAGCGACAGAAGCGCCGTTGCCGCTGCCGACGCCCGCAATGATGGCCAGTCTTTGTGGTGACATTGTGCTTTGATGCTGCTGCTGATGTGTGCTAGGTTACCATCGGTGGGTGAAGTACATACATATAGATGTCATGTTGAGTAATCATAGGCCAAGGAGCTACGGCTGAATGGATATACGTATGTCAGCGATAAAACACTGGGATGTCCTCGACTGCTACCTACTACTGAGTGACTGGATTGACAGACAAGCTCAAGACAAATGTTGTAGACTGACTAAATATTTCATGACAGTATCGTACTATCATCCAAGCACAAAGCGCTTAGCTTCCCAGAGCATCTTCTTCCCTCGTATCCCACTCCTCTCCAAGTGACGCTGACAACAGTCCTCAAAACTTCCCCTGTCATGACAACAAGCCGCGATATCGTCCGAAGGAGCCGCACAAACAACATTCTCTCCCAACGGAAAAAGAAAGTCCACAATACCCACTCATACCCACGGAAATCCCATTGAAAAACTCAACTCGTATCCCCATCCGCCGACACCAGCACAATTCCCTCCCTAATCCGCCACCTGACAAGACTCCGGCTGCCCACCAAAGTCCGACGAACATCCGAATATTGAAAAAAATGTCCTGCCCCGAGTACATGCTCCTTTCAATTGAAAAATTTGGCTCCTCCACTTTCGCACGGTGCGTAGTCAGTCTGCTGGATAGGCGTTGGACCAGATGGTTATTGCCTTCTTCATCTGCGAGAGAGAAGCCGCTGTTGTGTACGATTTGGTTCCCGCCTCCGAGATTGACGCTTTTCGATGGATGATGTTGTCCAGATGGCGTTGATGTAGTGCGGTCCCAGGGCGGGTTTGCGTTTTGCGAGGATTTCGTCGAGGTTGATGGTTGTGAGGATGTCGTTTGTTGCTGCTGCGTCTGCTGGGGCGGCCATGGTGGTGGTTGTTGTGGCTCTGAGGAGGAAGGCGACGCGACCCAGAGAGGTAGGAGGCGGGTAGATGTGGGAGGCATTTTTTCTTTTTCTCTTTTTCTTTTTTTTTTTGGTTTTTTCCTTGAGGGGGAGAGTGTTTCGGGAACTGTCCAATTCGATGTGATTTGATACTCTGTTTTTTAGACTCTCTTGTCCGTTGATACAAATAATAATGCTGGCAGGCCCTCGACCAAAAAGCGCGATTCCAGCTATTACCTGACTTATACTATTTATTTCTCCTCATGATGCTACTGCACACATATACGCACACAGCTTATTGACCATCCATTATTCACCTTCGGATATTCGGCCTCATGGCATGTAAAAGCAAATCGCAAGATCGATCTTTCACCCTCATCATCATTATCATCATCATCAACTTTTCCCTTTCAACGCCATACACACAGCTAACTCGCTCATTGTCTTTGCAGAAGTAAGCGAAAAAGTTGTTGATATTATATAACGCTTTGCCGGGCATTCCATTCCTCCTTTTGTTCCAAGAAGATCATTAACATACTCGGTATTAGTGAGTTCTTATTCATTCATTCATTCATTCATTCCTTCTCAAATCCTTCAGCCTTCCCCCGCCAACCTCTCCATCCTACGTCTCTCTACCAGAAATTGGGTAGTCGTTCTCGGGACCGAGGATAGAGAGAATAGAAAAGAGGAGAGAAGGATGCCGCCGAGATATCCCTGCTGGGGTATATACATTTCGCAGAACATAATCCTTCGCATGATGCAGGATTTGGATCGTATTTTTCGCCTTGCTTGCTTGCTGTGTGTGATTAACAGGAGATGGGTGATATGGTCTTGATGAAAAAAAGAGGGAATAAAACAAAAACAAAGTCTAGTCTAGTCGACTACTATGCGCCTGTCACGAAATGGGAGGATGAAAAAAAAATTATTCGGCAGAGTACAATTGCAGGGTCGAATTGTAGAGTAGAACCTGAGGGATAGAGTATTCTAGTCCGAGAATGATAACCTCTCTGCTAAAGTAATTTTTTTATAATTCTTCCATCTTGCTACCACCATTACCGACGTCTTCCAAAGAAGAAGGAGGAGTACAGCTAACGATGATGATGATGTTGCTCTTCGGGACCGACAGATCTTGCATCCCCTGGATCGTGAGCGGGACTCTGCACAGTATCCTCCTCATCATCCTTCCAAAGCCCGATGCGTTTCGCGAGACGATAAGATGTACTTCGACTCCTCTGCTCTTTTTGCTGTCGTGCGAGAATCTCCCTCTCTCTTTCAGCAGACTTGCTCCTATCCTTTTCCGCATCTAATCGTTTCTTTTTTTCTTCCGGATCAACCATGTCTTTGGCGCCTTGTTTGAAAGACTTTGCTCTTTGCTTGACTGTTAAGTAGCCTTCCAGACCGAGGATGACTGCATATGACCTCGAGACATTCAGTCGTGATAGATCAGCGCCTTCGGATCGCAGATTTTTTAAAAATTCTCGAAAATTACGCACGGGCGGGGCGTAGTGACCGGATAATGGCGAGAGTTTTCTGATTTGGCCCCGCTTGATTTTGATGAGTCCTGCCGCAGCTACTCTGGCGCCTTTGAGAAAGGAAGAATGTTGGAATGCGCCCGACTGTTTAATTCCCACGTAGAGACGCATCGAGGAGTCGGCCACAAAGATCCAGGTATTCTTCTTGGTGGTCTTGCGCAGAAGGTGGTTCATCAATGTATCCACGCTGAGATGGTTCAACTTGTTGAGGCCTTTGGCATCATGTAATTCATCATTCGCGTACTTGGCAGCATCTTCTTGAGAACCCGTGCTGATGTTGGAGGCGAGCGACGAATCTTCGGAGCTGTCCTCTTCTCGCTTTGGCTCAGGCTTCTCTCCCGTGACGACTTCTCGCCACGTAGGCGTGAGGTCACTCGAATGCACGATTCCATCGATGCTGTCGATCCGTCAGTAGGTAATTAATTTTATTGGCTCGTTGCACCTGCGAGGAGGGAGAGTCGGTACCTGTCCTTGTAGTCTGCCGAAGTAGTAATAGCTTTTCCATTCTTGTTGTAGACGAACCGGCCTTGGCCATCAATATTCACCAGATATTTCTTTCGTTCCTCACGACTCAAATATCTCACCTGCTCCTTGTCGAGCCGTTCTCTCGGTCGATCAGGAAGATCCAGATCCTTACCCTCACCATAGTCCAGCCAATAGAAAAAGTTCTCTTTCGTGTCGCGCGTCATCCATTCCTTGTGGTACCGTCTGAGGTTACTGCCATACCGGTGTTTCTGGTCGACCATTTCCAGAAAATACTCCAAGCCCATCGTCTTCGCATACTTCTCCCGTTCCTGCTTCTGGCGTCTCTTCTGCTCTCGTGTCTCGGCCTGACTGGCATGTCCGTCGTCTTCGTCGCTCGTGTTATCACTACCAGCTCGTCGAGCCGCAGCTCCGGCCTGAGCCCATCTCTTCTTGACTCTCTCCGCGGGAGGCTGAGATGCGGAGAAGCGCTCGGCATTGGACTGTGGACTGGTGATTCTGGAGTAGTTGGCTGTTACAGAATCAGCTTTTCCGGCAACTCGAGCAATTTCTGGTCCCGAAGTGTGCGTGATTACCGTCTTTGAGTGCCTGCCATCAATCAGCACTCTGAACCAATCATTCTGCCAGAAGTGAGGTAGTGGTAGAGCATACCTCGAGCCACCTCGTGCTGGGGTCCAAGGCGTATCCTTTCAGCTCGCGGCGGGTCTGATGGCCACGATAATGACGCTGAATGATCTGGGCAGCGTTTGTCCTCTCGTCGATCGTGGACGCGCGCTGCCGTTTCGCGCGTATCTCGAGCGCCCGTTCGTCCTGTCGCCGTGCAATCTCTCGCAGCTTCTCGGGCGAGGGCAGAGCGAGCAGCTCGTCCTTTTTCTTCTGCTGCGGCGTAGGGGGCTCCATGTGGACGGGTCGAAGTTCATGCTGACTACATCAGGTATAAAAATGTATCCTGAGTGACCTACCTACCTCCACCTGCCACCTACAGATACATAAGGTAAAGTATACAGTAGCTTGGAGATTAAACAGCTCGTGATGTATCTCTCTGGGGGGACGGGCCAACGTGCCTGGACCGCGGGGCAGTCTACCTATGATGATTGACTTCACTCGTCAAATCTTCAAAACGACGTCATATTTGACCTACAGGCTACAGACCAAGAAAAGCGACCTTAATAATAAGCATGTTTGGACTGACCAGGGGGTCATGAGGATCTTGTCCTGTCCTGTGGGGACACTGGGCAGTGGGATGGGATGGGATGGGGTTAGGGGGTGGTTGGCTGCCAATGGAAAACAAGGCTTGTCTCCGGTAAACTGCAAATGGGCCAAAATGTTCAGTCGCAGCAGGGCGACGGCAGATGTCGACATTTGACACGGGATCATGGCGAGGACTACGTCCACTCCGAGACGGGAAGCAGATGAGGGAAGGGTAAGTAGGAGACGGTAGAAGGTAGCAAACGGTCGGAAAAGGGGAATTGTGTGTGTGTGTGATACGGTTGGTGCATACGCGGAGTGAGCGAGTGGCTGTCTCCCTCCCTCCCTCCTAACCCTTCCTCCCAATCAATCATTCAATCAAACAAACGCCTTTCTGTGCCTGTCCATTATTACAGGTCAAGCAAGCATGCAAGAGCTGCAGAAGTGGTATCTTGTGAATTCAATTTGCTCCCTCCCAGGCGCCATCCATATCCCAAAACACCGTGCAAAGAACTCACGCCGAACACTTGCAATATGCCCACGTTTTCATCATTTTCGTCATGGCGGATCAATCTCTTCCTTCTTTTCATAAACCCATGCCGCCATTCATGTTACCATACGGCATCATGCCTTCCATGTGCATTCCCGGATATTGCGGCTGGCCTTGGTTGCCCATCATGTTGTGTGTGTACGAGATATGCTGCATGCCGTGATCTGGAACAGCCTCATACTGCATCTGGTCTTGCAGCTGCGCTTCAGGAACAGCACCCGCCTGCTGCTGCACTTGCTGATCGTACGACTGCTGCACGGGTTGCTGATGAGCGAAGCTGTTGTTCTGATCCGTGCTGGCATAACCAACATTACTCTGGTCGGCTTGCTGTCCAAAGTCGGGTGCATCGCCAACAAATTCCGACTCGTCTCCGTGTTCTGCCGCACCAGCTTGTTCACCCGTGTAGCTGTCGCTTTTCGTGAAGCCGCCATAGCCATCTGTGCGGGAGATGATTTCGCCCGTTTTCTGCATTTTGGTCCGCAATTGTCCCATCTTCCTCTTCATTCGCTCCCGTAAGAGCTCATCGTGAATCTGTGGCACCCAATCATTCTTGCTATGATCCACCAGCGCATACAGTTCGCGGTACATCGTCTCAAAGATCTCGCCCTGGTTCTGCGCAAAGGTATAGCAACCATATTGATGCATCAGGTCAGCCAGGATACTCTGGGCGCGGAGAGGCCAAATGTCTTTCGACTGCACCCATTCTGCCGTGAGGTGGTCTCGTCTGCGGGAGCGACGTTCCAAGTCACGAAGCATGCGTTCTTGTCGTTCGGCCGTGCGGCGCTTCGACTCCTCAATCTTCTTCTTGCTACGAGAGTCGCGCTTGGGGGGCGTAGGCACCACCAGATTCGGGTTGTAGAGAGTACTAGTGCTCGACGCCGTCGTGCTGGCTTTCCGAGAGGCCGAAGCTGGCGTGTTCTTGCCGCTCTGTATGCGACGAAGTTTCAGCTTCACTTCTAATTCGCGCTTTTGCAGCTCAATTTGCTGCAGTTGCAGCTGCAGAGTCTCTTCGTCTTCTTCGCCGTCGTCATTCGCGGCAGCGTTGTTGGTTATCGGCATTGGCGCAGTGAACGAAGATTGGCGCGGCGCCGGCGTCTGCTGTTGCGTCTGCTGTTGAAGAGCCTGCGCAAGTTGCTGTTCGGCATTGACGGCCTGTTGTGGTGTCGCCATGGGTGCGTACGGGCTCTGGTAATGAGCAGGATGTTGCGACTGCATTGGAGAGATTGTTGTGCTGACGTTGTCCTTGGAGGTGTCTGCCTCGTCCTCCTCGTCCTCTTCCTTGTCATTCGCGTTGCTCTTCTTTTTGCTACCTTTGATCCGCACTTTGTCCCCTTTCCGCTCAAACACTCGGCGGATAGTCCTGGTACCAACGACGATCTCGTACTGATCGTAAAGCCACCATAACATGTTGTCGACCGTCAGACTAGGATTGTCCCTCACATGGTCGAGGAGTGCTTGCTCGATTTCCACAGATAGCACTCGGTGTCTGCCAGTGCGCGCTTCCGGCGGTTTCCCTATTCTGCCCGTCCTCTCGAGTTCGAGTTTCCATCGTCGGATCGTGCGGTCGCTTACGCCCGTCTCTTTCTCGATGGACTCCTCGTCACGTCCCGACTCGAGGAGCTGGCGCACCTGCTCACGCTGCTCAGGCGAATATGCCTATAGCCTCGAGTCAGTGGGCAAAATCTCTCAAGTTAGGAGGTAAGCGTCCAGCAGCGCCAGTGGCACAAGCACCAGCGGCGGTCGTGATGGCTGCGCAACTCCATTACGGGGAGTACGCATATATGCTGGGAAGGTCATCGCCAGCAACAGTAACAGCAGCAGCAGCAGCTCCGTAGAGGCGAACGAGTAGTTCTAGCTGACTGACTATGCAGACTCTGCAACACGTTGCCCGGCCGCCGCTGTAAATGATGATGAGGATGATGATGATGATGTGTGCGTACTCGTGCTTGTCAAGAGTAAAAGGAGCAAAACCCACCTTTCCCATGGCGTGCCAGAAGTCGATAACTGATGCTGTTGAACGGGTGCAGGATGGATGTTATAAAGGTCTAGGACGAGATTGTCCTTGCCGGCCAGCTGAGCAAACTCAATTTCCTTCTCTCTCACTCCCTGGGGGCTCTACATGGCATTTTATTTTATTCTTTGCTTGTGCCAGCGAGCGATGCTCTTGCACGATACTCTACTCTCTTCACCACTCTCACTCCAACTTATTGCGATTACACTCGGACATCAAGATGTATACCTACGGTAATTCGATCTAGATTCCGTCAGGCAGGCCTGAGCACGTGACACTACACAGTCTTATCACTTATCTCGCCACCTCAACCTACGGAACGAGAGACTACGTATACCTATCATGTTCACAGACATGAAGCTAGTGAGTGACACCGGCGGTGCCATTGTATAGTAAAGAGTATACAGAAAGACATGTAGAAGCCTGGCCATACTACATGGGGGGGTATTCACAAGAATAGCCTGCAAACTTCGTCTTTCCTTCATGGTCTGAGACACCTCTACCACTGTCTTCACCTTCTATTCTGTTCCCGCCATCTCAATGCAACAAGTTAGCCAAATTCGGACTGGCGCTCGCCCCAGTGATTCCGTTCACCTGCCCGCCTCGAGGTGTGGTAGGCCGTGGTGCGTCTCCGCCTTCTAGCCTGACAGAACTCTGCTGGGGGCTGGCTGCCGTGGACTGCTGATTCTGAGTTGGCTGCTCTACTGTGTGCTGTGGCTGCGCCTGCAGAACCGATGGTGTCGCTGGGTTTTGTTGAGATTGCTGAGCGGGCTGCACTGGTTGCGACTGATGCTGCTGCTGCTGCTGCGATTGTTGTTGAGCTTGCTGCTGGTGTGCAGGAGCATTCATAGGGTTCTGCGGGTGGTGTGGAGGAGGGTGCTGCGGTTGTGGTGCATGCTGTGACTGTGAGCCCGGTCTGCCGAACAATGAATGAGGATTCGAATGGACCGGCGGTCCCAAAGATGGCAACTGGCCCGGATAGGAACCATCCCTGCTCAAACTTGACATCTGTTGATGGTGCTGAGATGGCGGCGGATAATTGGGCGACGGTTGCCCCAGGTGAGGCGATCGCAGGCCACTGCCTGGGTTCTGTCCTGGCGGTGCGAACCCGTTCAGCGGTGGTCGAGGATGGCTCTGTGCAAAAGATGGTCCATAATGTGGCGCAGGCGGGATTGGAGATGGCCGAGGCTGGTGGTAAGCATAATTTCCGTAACTGTTCTGCCGCTCGTGCATATGCATGCCGCCCATTGAAGCTGCCGGTGGAGGCTGGTGATAGCCGTTTGGTTGATGGAATGCCTGTGGATAGACGTGGTGAGGAGGTCCGTACGGACCATTACTGCCATGGCCCAACATTCCATTAATCGGTGTAGATGGCGGCAACACCGGCGTCTGTCGTTGAGGCGGGTTGTCGATGGCTCGGAACTGCTCCTCGATCGAAGGAATGGTAGCCGGTGTGGGGCGCTTGGTGATGAGCGGTGGAAGTGCAGGTGATGTGGCTGGACGTGGCTCGCCATCTTCTGGCGGCGGCGTAGGATTGGCCTTCTTGATGATGTAGCATTTGTGGCAGAGGTATTCAGAACTGCTCGACATCTGCTCCACTGGCTTTTCATGTTCTTCGACATGCGGAGATGTCCCCATGATGGGGGGAATATAACCTTGTGGCAGTCGGTGGGCGTGCGTCGCAGTATCATTTTCATCCACTCTAATGGGCTCGCCAATCTCGCGTCGGAGTTCGCCATTGAGCTCAGTGGGCTGTGGCATACCAGGCTCGGGGATGGGAGTCGGTGCTGGTACACCGGCAGCTCCCTCACTTTGACCATGCCCGTGCCGATCAGGCATACCTTCCCATGCACGACCATTTGCACCCGGAGCCATGAATCGGATCTTAAATTTGTCGACAGGCTGTGGCGCATCTGCTGGCTTCTCCGGCTCTGTAGACTTGGGCGCCGCCTGTGCAGGTGCTGGCAACAAAGGATGCCACATGGGCGTCACGTCCACGTCGCAGTGAGCGCATCGTCGGGACTCCATATCAGGCACTGTGGCCAGGTCGGGCGCACCATCTTCAGGCTCGATCTTAGTTTCCGCTGCAGCCGATGTTCTTGCTCCTCGCCGGACTGCAGCTGCGATGCCATGTACACCGGATTCTCTCCTGTTCGCGCTTTGCGAGGCTACTGGCTGCTGTCCTTTCTTGTCCTTAGTAAGTTGAGCCTCGGCAGCCTTTCGGGCAGTCCCCGTCAAAGTCAGGTCAGCCTGCTTATATGCCTCGGCGTAGACCTGCAAAGCATTCTTGCCGATATCATCGTAGAATTCATCAATCGGATGCAATACGCCCTTGAAGGTGTGCTCCTTGCAGAGGACGATAGGGTTCAGCGAGCCGGTCTCGTTGCCCAGAGTTGCGGTGATCACCTGGTCCTTCCGAGAGCCCTTGACCGGTTGGACATCAAACCCAAATGTGTAGTTGGCCTCGAACGCGCACGAGGCGTGAAACGCAGCTTGGCATTGAGAGCAATTGATGCACGCCCCTGCGTTCTCCCGAAACTTGCTCTTGTGGTCCCGGTTCTTGCATAATTTGCACACTGCCTCGAAGCGGGCCTGAGGGATGAGCTGGAAGCCTTCAGCGATCTCAAGCTTCTGAGCGTCACTGTACTTGATCTCGTTCGCCCACAGACCGCAGGCGACGTGAACCCAATTGTTGCCCGTAGTCCGTTTCAGCGGCTCGCGTGGCAAAGTGGGCCGGTGGTGTGCAAGCTGCCTGTTGCGATACTCATTACGCATGCCATCAGCGAGCTCCTTCTCCAGCCTCTCCTTCTCTCGTTCTCGGTCCGTCTTCTTCTTGTGTGATACTCGAGGTGGCTCGACCAGATCGATGAGCGTTTCCTCTGTCAGGCAGAGGCAGCAAGAGTAGTCCGTCGAAACCATCGGATTACGGTCGTTCTGACACTGCTCACAAATCCAGTGCACCTCGCCATTGGGTCTCGCACCTTCATGCTCGCCTACGCCAAAGCAGCGTCGGTGCACCGTCAGCTTGCAATGGGCACAGGCAATCGTGTGATCAAACCCTTTGCAGACTGCGCACGGGAGCACTTTCCAAGTCGGCTGCGTCGGTATTATCGGCGGAGGCGGTGGTGTTGGCTCCTTTGGAGGTGGAGGCGGCGGAGCGGGTTTCTCGACTGGTTCGACAGCTGCCACTGCAGCTGCAGCTGCAGCTGCAGCTGCTTTGCTCGTCTTCGATTTCTTCTTTGGGGGCTCTCCAACATCGATGGCAGGCTGTGTCAGTGGTTCGGGTTCCGGCGGATGCGCGGCTGCCTCGTTCGCGGCTATCAGTTCACGCAGCAGTTCTTCGTCAATCTTCCGCTTCAAGCCTTTCCCGCCGTTCTGGCCGACCTTCTTGGTGACTTCGTCAATTTCCTCCCACTGTATCGCATACTTGCGCCACAAGCCTGCACATCGTAGACACAACGCAAGCAGCGGACGGTCTTTCTTGTCCACCTTCTGGCCCTTGTCGACCTTTTCTGGTGGTGCAACTTGACCGGGCGAGACCCCTGGCGCGCGTCTCCACTGTCGCGCATGTGTTGTGTGACAGAATTTGCATTGAAAACCACGATTCTTCCGTACCGCTTTGCCGGAGTCAAAGGCCGAATCGTCCACGTCGTCGGCCAGTTCAGCTTGGAGCTTACTGCCAGCATCGCCTGCTGGTTCCGCCTTCTTCTTCTTCCGCCCTCCGTAGTTGCCCCATATCTCTCGTCCCTTGGGCGTCTTTTTCCAGAGGTAGTAGAAACGCACAATGTCGGCATGAGGCAGCGTCGTCTTCATGTGAAGGCGGATCAGCCGATGTTCGGAGCCATATTTGGCAACTCCCTCCTCAAACTTGACGAGATCCTGCTTGCTGAGGACAGGCTCGTGAAGGTCTTTCACGCGATCGGTCTTCTGCAGAGCTTTGAGCGCCGCATCGATGTTGTATTTGCTGTTCAGGAGCATTTCCATTGCTCGGTCCAGAAAGTTCGTGCCGAATGGAGGGACTCCAATGTTCCTAGCCAGAGGTTTGGCTCGCTGTAGGTAAGCACTGACGAAGTTCTCGTTTCTCTTCACGGGGTCGGGCTCGCTCGCATCTGCTTGCTTGGGTGGCTTGTCGAGCGGAGGCATCACAAATATAGGAGTCGCAGTGCACCTTGGGTCTTTGGCGTCATAGTCTTCACCCCGTGCAACATAGCCCACAGGCTCATCTTGGACCCATTTTGGACGCTTCGCCTTTTCCTCTTTATCCGCTTCAATGGCAGCCAAAGTCTCTTTGGTGAATTTTGTGTCCTTCTTCTGCGCACCGGCTTTCATATATCGCTTCTTGATCTCAGCGGGTTTGATGAGCTCCACGGGTCGACCATGCCACATGTTCACGCTGGCTTGATGCCTCGGGCCCAATCGCGAACTGGCTCGCGGGTAGATAGCACGATCATCATACTGCAGAGCATCCTCAACCCTGGCATGAATGCCGAGATATCGCATTGGCCACATTTTCGCAAGTGCGATTTCTGCCTGGGTTGCCGGGTGCTCGTCGATGACCATATCGTCGACATTGGGACTCGGTGCTCGAGTAATATCGTTTGATAGTCCTGCGGCATCTTCTAGTTGCGCAGCGTCTTCCTCTTCCGCTTCCGTGACATGACCGCTGGCGTTGGGTGTATTACGCGCTTCGTGTTCTCGTTCCGATGCTCGGCTACAAGGTCCACATGCCCATGCGAATCCACGCGAAGGCTTCTTTGGTAAGGGCGGCTGTACACAATTCATGTGATATGACATCTTGCAAATTGCACAGTCGACAGAGTCACTTGATGCACAATACCTCGTACAACGCTTGCAGGACTTGGCAGCACTCGTCAATTCCTTTACACGCCCGATCTCGACGACGACAAACCTCCAGCGCTCGTCGAGCGCCTTCTTGACTTTGTCCGGGACATTGACGATCTGTTTGACCGGTATACATTCGTACGAGCGGCGAATGAAGCGGTCGAACACCTGCACAAAGTAGAAAGAATCTCGTTCTTTCCGGTAGGCGTCCAGGTCTTCGATCTCGGAGCGGTGCTTGATGGCACATTTCCCACGGAGGGAGGTAAGTGGACACATATCCGAGTGCATTGTGCCGTAGACCAGACGAGTGTCGCTGCTGAAACGTTGTACATCTCGTGGGCGATAATACCAATTGACGCGCAAGGCGTCGACAGGCGAGGTGGGATCGTCGCTGTCGACGTGGAGGAACTCCATAATACGACAAACATAGTACGGGTCTCCCGGTGGCTCGCAGACGAGGTACACGTGATCTATGATTGAAAGTCAGCGGATGGACGTGGGAGGTTGAGTTGGGTGTATGGGTGTATGGGTGTGGATGTGGGTGGGTGTGGGTGGGTGTGTGTGTGTGTGTCTGTGCCTGTGTGTCTGTGTGTCTGTGTGTAGGTGTGTGGAGTGGGGTAGGGCTGCAACCTCCATTTGCGAGGTTTGTGAGGTTCGTGGGCCAGATCAGGAGAGTCAAATCGAAGCTTACCGTTGACACTCAACTTCGTCCCGTCATCGGCAATCAATTCGCCCTTTTTGTTCAGGCATGCTCGGTGCTTGGAGAATGACATGACATTGGTTTCGCGTGCTTGGCTGGATAGGCCTGCCGGTGCAGCCGGCTTTCGTGCAGCGACAGGGGGAGGCGTCGCTGATGCAGTAGTAGCCTGAAGCGCTGCGGCGGCATGGCCAGCAGCCTTGCGCTTCTTTGATGTGCCTGTAGTGGTGGCGGTGGGCGTAGATGCGCTCGAATCTTTTCCGCCAGCGCCAGCGACGCTGCCACCGTGGCCGTTGATTGCCTGAAAGGACGTGACCTCGGGAGCGCGTTTCGTGTCAGAGGCCTGGGTGAGGGTATTAGTAGCAGAAGAAGAAGTCTCGCTGGCTTTCTTTTTGCCAGTGGTCGCGGCCGAGGAGGAGTATTCAAAGTCCATCTCCTGGTCTTCGGCGTAGTTTGGTCGCGTGCTGGTTCGATTACGCGAACGCGTCCCATAGGACGCTTCGGGCTGTATGGCCATGGCACCGTCCAGAGGGTCGTGATGTGAAGATGACTTGGAAGGCTGAGGTGCAGAGGTGGAAGTTTGTCCTGTTTGTGCAGTGGTCGGTGCGACAGCTGCAACGCCGCCGTGTGGTGTCAGATCAGAGGGATCGCCGCGTGGCTGTCCTGCGGCTGCTGCTGCTGCTGGAGTACCAGTAGCATTGCGGGCATTCTCTAAGGGCGGGCGAGAATTGACTGCCTGGAATGAAACGCTTGGTGTGCCATCTCTCGAGGCTGCGGAGGGCAGTGTGGAGGTTGCCGTGGTGTCGGGAACCGAATCCATGGCAGCAGGTTGAGTGGTCGCGCTGGCTGCATCAGCCATCACACGTTGACGCTTTTGCCGACGAGAAGACACATCCGTCGATGGGGAAGGGTAGTAAGGTAGTATGTATGGAGGGAAGGGGAGTGAAGAGGTGTGATGTGCCCAAATGGTGTCGGTCCAGTGACGTGTCCAGCGACTGGCGTGTGTTGGAAGTGCAGGTGGCTGTCTCCTACGACTGGCGCAGAAGCAGGTTGTGGCAATACCGCGGGTAGAGTTCAGATGTGAATAAAGTATGGAGAGTCAGAAGGGAAGAGGGAGGCCTCTGCAGGGCGGAACAGTCCGGTTCGGGAGCGTGAAGGGAGGGCGGGCTAAAAAGGAAGGGAAGTTGAGGTTGCGTGTTCGTGTGCGTGGGTGTGGGCGTAGTGGTGGTTAAAAAGGATGGGCATCGATGTAAATGGAAGAAGAGGAACGAGGAAGCCGGAGGGCCAGGTCGAAGAGAAAGCGAGAGTTCCAGTTGCCATTCCCAGCTGTCCAATCATATCATACCATACAATATCTGAGCCTCTCTCTCTCTCTCTGTCTCTCTCCCGCTTTCTATCTGGCGCTGGCCTTCCCTCCTGCACACCCGGACGTCGTTCATCACACCAATTCCACGACTGCACCTGTTGGCCGTCCATGGCTCCTCATCACACTCGCACTCGCACTGCTCACTCCGCCACGCGTGGCTCTTTCAGGGAGCGCGGGCTCGAGCAGCAGTGGGACAGGCTGGCACTGCGAGGGCTAATGGCTATATATCGATATTGCGAATGCAGCAGTGCTCACAGCCGGCTGAAACCTGGCCAGAGGCTTGCGGTAGCGGCAGTGTACAGATGCATCTATGTTTCATGAATGGGGGACGAGAGTAGCAACGGCCACCCTTGCACGCTCATCCAACTCATAACGCGATGTAGTCCACTGCGACATGTCAGCCGCAAAAGTCGCGGACAGCTTGCCGCGTGGGAGCCTGGGAGGTCGGGTGGGAAGTGGGAAGGGAAGGGAAGGGAAGGCCTCCCTCTCCCGTCAGACTCGTCCCGTCTCGTCTTCTGCTCCGGAGTGCACTGACACTGCCTGAACGTGACTATTTTACCTACTACCACTACCTTGCCTCCCTACTCTCTGCACCTTGCATCTGCCGACGCATTAATCACTCACTCACTCCTTCACTCCTTCACTCACTCCCTCACTCCCTCACTCCTTCGTACACTCTCTCTCCCTCACCCCCAGTGCCATCGACAACGACTCTGATGGCGTGGGAACCGATCAAGGGATGAATGGGTTCAAACGTCTCATATCAACGTTGCCACAGGGACAGACAGACACCTGCAGAGTGTACCTCCAGTGCGAGAACTGAAATAGTGTACTTGGGTCGGTGCGAGAATAAGTAAACATACCTCCCGTCATGTAACAACGTTATACATACATGTTAGGTACCTGACCTCCTAACTGGAGTAGTCCAAGCACTAAGCACCAAGCACCGAGTGTCCGAGTCTGCTTCGAGAGAAGACCGTGCTAACCTGACTCGTCACACTCGTCTATGGCCGCTGCGGGAGGCGCCGTCCATCACTTCCCGCCTTCCCGCCTGCCGGGCTTTTCTGCTTTTCTGCTTTTCTGCCTTTCTGCTGAGTGCTGACCAGTGACCACCCGTCCCCGTCCGTCCTATAGAAATCCACCGCTTCCGAGCCTAGAAGGAAATTTATTCAGCCATCTGTCATCGCCATGGCCTGCATGACCTGATGACCACCATCTCCGTCGCCAATCAGCTAACAACACAAGGTACTGTACCTGCCTACCTACCTGACCTTAGGTAACTGTTGTATCTTCTCACACCGCTGCCGAGAACGACTGCGCGGATGCTTCGAGCCATGGCGAAACGAGTTCCCATTCCGAAAAATGGCGTCGATTACAGAGGCAAAATCGTCCTGGCTCCCATGGTACGCAGTGGTGAATGCCCATCGCGACTCCTGGCCCTGAAATATGGTGCGGACCTCGTGTGGGGGCCAGAGACCATTGATAAGGCGCTGATTGGCACCACGCGGCGCGAAAACCCCGTCACCAAGGCAGTCGACTTCACCAGAATATCTTCCAATGGCGCCAAAAATCCCACTCTCCATCCCGACCAACGTGAAAGCGTCATATACCGCCTCCATCCTGAACGTGAGGGCAAGAAGCTCATCTATCAAATCGGAACTGCCAATCCGGAAACTGCAGTGGAAGCGGCGAAGCTCATCGCCAAAGATGTCGCCGGCATCGACGTCAATGCAGGATGTCCCAAACCGTTCAGCACCAGTGGTGGAATGGGTGCAGCGTTGCTCAAGACCCCCGATAAACTCTGCTCCATCCTCCGCGCACTGGTGCAAGAAGTCGGCATACCCTTCGAGATTGGCATCAGCGTGAAGATCCGCATCCTGGACACGCCCGAAGAGACGCAAGACCTCGTTCGCAAACTCTGTCAAACGGGAATCCATGGCCTGACCGTCCACTGTCGCACTACGCCCATGCGTCCTCGCGAAGCCGCCATTCGTGACGAACGCCTTCACGTCGTGCGACAAACCTGCCACGAAGCAGGCGTATCCTGCCTCATCAACGGCGACGTGGCGAGTCGCGACGACGCGATGAAGCTGATCGAGCAATATGGCGTCGACGGTGCCATGATCGCCACCGCAGCAGAGACCAACCCTTCCGTCTTTCGAGCCGAGGAAGCAGGTGGCAAGGCCCCGTGGGAACAAGTCGTCCAAGAATACGTCCAAACGGCACTCGAGGTAGAAAACCGCTTCGGCAACACCAAATATCTCCTCGGCCAGATGATTCCTGGAAAAGCCGGCGCCTACAAGAAAATGATGGCTGCGAAAAGCTACACGGGCATCGTGGAAGCGCTGGGCTATTCGGATCTCGTGAACATCGCCAAAGAAATCGATCAGAGGCTGGAAATTGGAGCTTTTGAGAAACCTAAAATGACCAAAGCGGAACGCAAAGCCGCGAACAAATTGGCGCAAAAGGCGAAAGAGGAGGTGGAAGATGAGAAGAAGAAGAATGAGCCTCCTCTCAGTAGTAGTGGTAGTATTAGTAAAGACGACGAGGAGAGAATCAAGTTGCAGACCACCGCTGCAGGAATCAAGCGTACGGCGGAGCAGGCACAGCTCGATATGCCGCCTGACATTGCTCGTGAGCGAGGACCAGGGTCTGTGTCGGAGAGTGCGTCGACGCTGGTCGTGTGAAAATAAAAAACATTAAAATAAATAGAAAAAGAGAGAGAGAGAGAGAGAGGTGAAAAAGGTCAGGTAGTGGCTGCATCTTGGTTCACCAAGCGCTGGACAAACCGAGATGCAGTCAGTCCAGACAAAACGAAACGAAACGAAACGAAGCAAAACAGAGATGGCTACCATTCATCATCATCATCATCAATCTCATACTTGCAAATATTTTTTGAGCTTTGCTTTCAATTCTTCTTCTTCTTCTTCTTCTTCTTCTTCTCTAATGTGTATTGTCTTCGGCTACTAGACTACAAAAGAACAAAAAAGATGTCAAGGGGAATCCATGCCTTGCGCTAAGTGAATCGCCCCGCCTCTCGATGATGATCCATTCATCCATTCATCGATCCATCCTCCTACATACATACATAGTTCCTCCGCAGCAACAAGCAAGCAAGCAAGCAACTATGTATGTATGTATATATGCATATACGGATAGACAGGGGTATAAGGTAAGTACCTCCTCTCGCCCCCGAGCAAAAGCCAAAAGAAAAAAAAGGTAGCGGTAGCGATTTACCATCAATCACAATAACCCACAACCTTTTCTTTTTCCTTTTCTTCTATTTCCGATACAATTCCCCACCACACTCCCTCAATCTCTTCGCGGCCTGTTCAGGCGTAATATCACGTTGTGGCTCCGCCATCATTTCATATCCCACGAGGAATTTTCTCACGGTCGCGCTTCGGAGGAGAGGTGGATAGAAGTGAATGTGGAAATGTGAGGCTTCGATTTCTTCCGGGGTGCCTGTGAGGGGAGCTTGGTGGAGGCCCATGCCTAGAGAGGTAAAAGGTAAAAGAGATGGTCAGCACGGGGTAGGGAGGAGGGAGGGAGGGAGGGAGGGATTTTGAGAATTGGAAGTGGGAAAAAAAAAGAAAACAAAATACGTACTGTAGGGAAAGTTGGTTTCGAAGAGATTATCATATCTTCGAGTGACTTCGGATAGAACATCTGCGAGATCTTCTTTTTCGCTTTGATCGAAATCGACGAGAGCGCGTTTGTGAGATTTGGATATGACCATGACTTCGAATGGCCAGGTGGCCCACCAGGGACAACCAGCCCAGAAACTTCGATTCTCATAGACTGTTCGTTCGCCCTTTTCGCATTCGAGTTTGGCGTAATCGACTAGCAGATGCGAGCCATTCTCTTCTTGACGATACTGCTGCATGTGTTGCAGTTCGAGACTGGGCTCTTCTGGAAGTGATGTTGTCGTCCAGATTTGGCCATGGGGGTGAGGATTCGAACAGCCCATTGCTGCGCCCTTGTTCTCGAAGATTTGCATATATCGATATTGGTCTCGTGGCGCTTCGATTGTTGTTCCGTTCGACATCGGGCTGGCACATTGAGCGAGAGGTGAGCGTGGATCGAGATGTGCTGTGTAGATTTTGGTCCAGGTATCGATCACGGGCATGATGTCTTGAGCGGGCATGTCGGCGAGAGTGATGTTATGCGAGGGTGAGAAGGTAATCACATAGCACTTCCCGGTTGTGCTTTCGGCTTTGAGCAGACGTGATGCTAATGCTAATGGACTGATATCAGTATTTCCCGCACCATGCATCGATCCCTCGGCTCCATTGCTCCTTGCACTCACTGCCGCTCCCTTTTGGTGGCGCATATTCTGCTTGTTGTTCTTTGACTGCCGAATAGTCGTTCACAAACACGAATGTGCTGTCATAGTCTGGATTCGCATCTCCTTGTGCTCGTTTGTTTCGCGGACACAGATAGCACTGCTATCCTGTCAGTCCTCGTTTCCCCCCTCCCATGTTTTGTGCTCGATGACATGTCCCAGTGCACGCACCGAGGGATCGTATTGTGGCAGTACGTTCTTGCTCGCTTCCTCCTGTTGGCCTTGCCATGGCCGCTTCGTCCGATGAGGTGACACCAGCACCCACGATCCTCGGAGTGGGTTGTAGCGTCGGTGGGAGATGTCGTCGAGGATGGCTTCAGGCATCGTACCCTGTGCGCAGCATGTGGGGACGGGGTCCGCTCGAGAGAAGTCTGCTCGTGTTGGGGTGGGAGATATGGAGCGAGGCAGGTCTGCTGAGTGCAGTATCTGGTGCATGGTCAGGATGGGATTGGGGAGAAGGAAATCTGGCGAGATGATGCAGTACGCTCTATCCGCCACGCCACTCCAGGTAATCGAGTGCGGCAGGCAGGTTTTCCTGGGAGAGAGGTGCAAGGTACGGTCAGGTATTTATCTTCCTATTGCAGCACACATACATACTACAGGTACACACGCAGTCCTCTGGGCCGGGCGTGTGCAGTGCGCGTGCGTGCCTAGGAGGTAGGAGGTACCAGGAAGTACTACTACTACATGCCTCCTCGTGCTAGCTGCTGCTCAATCTGCTCAATCAAGCATCGCAAGAGACCAACCCGAGCGCTCCGAGTGGATGAGGAGTCCCGAGGTGCTGCTGCAATGCGTCGAGGCAGAAATTGGAGAGTTTGGAGCGGAAGAACTTGACCACATGTTGTTGTCTGTGTGCTGCCCCCCTCCACCTCCACATCCCGCTCGAGTCGCTAGGAGTCTAGGACAGGTACATGAAGTCTACTGCGGACATCTCTCACTGCGGCCATCTCTCAGCCTACCAGCCGCGGACGTGGCCGATGGCCCTGCTCATCAAGTGCCGTCGTTTCCAAGCATTCGATTTTCTGTCGCCGCCAAACGGCGCGGAGAACAAGCATCACCAAGGGTCGCATCTCTGCTCAGAGTGGCAGCTGGTCATTTGATGCATGTGGAGGACATTTCTCTTCACGCTAGGAGGTACCTACTAGTGCGAGGAGGTAAAGGTAGTCCTACATACATGCCGCCATTCTGTGGAGAGGGTACATGTCCGGGCAGCTCGCAGCGAGCATTCTCATATCCGTGATAGCACAACACGAAAGGATCCCTGGTGACGATGCAGCTCCCAGACGGACTCGGGTGGAGTCTCTCCACGGGATGAGGGTCATAGGTAGCCTCCTCATACCTTACCTTAGGAGGTAGTGTATTAGCATACTTGAGATGGAACTATCGTACTCATAGAGGGGCCGAGACATATAGGCTTCCAGATGATATCACTCGTTACCACTACCTGACCAGGCGTGAATGTCGTGGGGGTGAAGCCTTGAATTCTGAAGTGGGTTGAAAGGTAAGGCATGTGGCTGCTGTGGTAGGAGGTAGTGGTGGTGGTGGTACTGGTGGTGGCTTTGGCAAGCGCCGGGGAGCTCAGCCGAAAAGAAACGCGTGCGCGCGACGGACGCCAGCTTTCCATCACCTCCCGTGGCTCCTGTACGACTGGATACCTACCTATCATACCATAACCTACCATTCAAACACCACAACACCCCACAACACCCCACAACTTCATCAATGGCTGCAATGATGCCAGGACCTGGCAGTGGCCGCAACCAATCCGCAAACCCATACGAACACTACGATGCTTCCATAGAAGACGACGACCTCATAGATCCCGATGATGGTACCAAGACTCCTCGAACCCTCCACCTGCATGTACCTCACTCCTGCACCTGCTAACGCCAGTTCCGTAGCAACTCTCGACGATCTCGAAGACCCCGTCTCCAGCAACGACCGCGCTCCTCTGACGGGCAACATCTCCTCGCAACAATCGCAATCGAATGCCCGAACCGCCAATTCCGCTCAAGGTTACCTCAATAATTCCATCGGAGGTGAAGACCGTCGCGCCCCACTCGACACCATCGACGAATCCGTCTGGGAGACTCTGCGACGTGACCTACTTGCGGTATGGGAGAAGATGCGACAAGTGCTGTATCCCAAGTACTTACTGGGTGGTGTCTTGGCGCGAGGACAAGGAGCGTCGGGCGAGGGATCTGATCAGGGAGGTGTGGCCGGCCAGATCAGAGGCCTGGTCGGCAGGTGGCCGCAGGTTGATGCGGACACGCTGTTGGAGCAGGGTGGAATGAGTGAGGGTTTAAGGGATTGGGATTTGTGGTATGTTCACACGCCGAGTCGGGAAATGCGAGATATTCTGACAATTGTGCTTTTCAATAGGGGACCACTGCTGTTCTGCTTATTGCTGTCGTTCTTCTTGTCGCTCAATGCGAGAGAAGACCAGCGATCTGAAGTCTTCAGCGGAGTCTTTGCTCTCATCTGGATTGGCGAGGCCGTTGTGACCTTGCAGATCAAGCTGCTAGGAGGCACGATGTACGTTCTTCTCCCGAGCTACTTTCTGCGACTCTCGCTGACACGAATACACAGCTCCTTTTTCCAATCTGTCTGTATCATCGGATACACGCTCTTTCCCATGGTCATCGCCTCGATCCTCAGCGCCTTCCACGTGCCCATGGTAGTGCGGATACCAGTCTACAGCGTACTCGGGCTGTGGTCGTTAGCAGCAGGTGTGAGCATTCTGGGCGGTAGTGGTGTGGTGAAGAACAGGGTATCACTAGCGGTGTACCCGTTGTTCGTGTTCTATATCGGAGTGGACTGCTTATGCTTCATCTCGTAATCCGGGAATAGACTGGTCATCTGTAACATCATGAATCCAACGCTGTATCAACGGTCCCAGGCCACCCAGCCCGTGGTCTTCCTCTGTGATCCTCGTATCTTTCAGTGCGGACATAACGCAACTGGAAGACGTACCATCTACATCACAGCACGGTTTCGTGGTGAGCACTGCCGTCCATTGTCAACTCTGGCAAATATGGAAGGCACCATACCCGAGTACGCTTCGAAGACACTTGTTACTCGGCGGCTTTGGTGAATGCGCGGGCTGGCGATGCGCAAGTACGCGGACACTGGGCATTATGGGAACAATTCAGAAGACACGAACTTGGAAAACAGAATCAAAGTAAACAAGTATTCTCATTTCAAGTATCTCCAGACGTGTACCGGAAAGGCACAGTCAGGGCCAACAGCGAGGTACCTACCCTAAGCTAAGGTAGCCTCCTCACTGATCACCCGGAGTAACAGCCAAGTCCCACCTCGTGTGAAGCAGCAGATGACTATTAACAAGTCCAAGCGGTAGCACTACGAACGCCCAAGAACAAGACGATGGGAGGGTTGCTGCATTTCGTCTCCCAACTTCAGAAGTGATGAAGCTGAAATCAGACAACCGCCTCAGAGTCGCTGTCTTCACCCTCCTTGGTGACAGCAGCAGCAGCAGGCTCCTCATCTGCTGGAGGTAGGTAGCCAGACAATTCCAGAAGTCAGCGAATGGTTGGACCTTCGAAACTCAGCTCCAACTCACCCTCCTCCATGGCTTCTTCCTCCATCTTCGCAGCAGCAACATCAGCCGCGAAGGCAGCAGCGAACGCAGCAGAAGCAGCAGCAGAAGCCGTAGAAGCAGAAGCAGCACGAGCAGGAGCAGGAGCAATAGAAGCAGAAGCAGCCCGAGCAGGAGCAGGAGCAATAGCAACATAAGGTTTCTTTCCGCCGCGCTTGCCTGGACCGCGACCGCCCTTCTTGACCTTGGGCTCCTCGGCCTCCTCATCCTCGTCTTCGTTCTCATCCTCCTCTACGTCCTTCGCAGCGACGACGACGGCCTTCTTGCGCTTGGGACCCTTCTTGGGCTTCTCGACGGTCTCGTCACCGCCAGCAGCGCCACCACCAACGCCGCCGCCGGCGTTAGCGGCCTTCTTGCTGGCCTTGGAGGTGATGGTGCGGAAGGATGCGAACTTGGATTTTCCGTCTGGGTCGAAAGAGGCGTGGGCGCCCTCCCAGTTGGTCTGTTGGTTGATGTGAAAAAGAAAAAAAAGTTTGAGATTAGCAATGTGACTCACGCACACGCGCGGCGAGGCGAGGCGAGGCAATGGGAAGAAGAAGGGTGGTGGATGAAGAAGAAGGCAGGAAGAGAATCTTACGGTGAGGTCGCTGTTGAGCCAGCACGCGGCGAAGCGCTTGAGCTCAGCCTCTGTCATCTGGGAAATGTCTGCGGGCATGATGTTGAAGTGTGCGGTGTGGTTGCGAATTGGTTGCGATGATGTGTGAGTGTGAGTGAGTGTGAGTGTGAGTGAGTGTGAGTGTGAGTGTGGGTGTGGGTGTGTGATGATGGTTGTTGTTGGGAGTGGGAGGTTGATCTTGAGTCAAGACGGGAACAGAGGGATGTTTGTGTGTGTTGAAAGAGAAGATCTGAAAAGAAGTGCGAATTTGGTGGTGCTCTTTTTGTAGGAAGGTGGCAGATTCCGTGACGGAATCGGCGTTCCAAGGCAGCAAATGCAGGTGGATGCGAAATCACCATGGGAAACCGGTGTTAATCGCGCTAGTCCTGAAATGGGTTTCAAGTGAAGTGAAGCTGGGAATTCCTTATCAAACACCACACCCGTAAGTAAATTGATCAAATCAACCTCGTTTCTCGCTTTTATATCATTACAGACTCATGAAATCATTCCTTCGTAGGTAGGACCATGCTGAAACTCACCCACCAGAGCTTCTGCTGATAACTTGCCGCATCACGAGAGACTCACGAGAGACTCACGACTGCACCCCCCAAAAAAGTGCCCCCTCCGCACCTAGTGACCATATCTGGTTCACAAGAAATCGTTTTCATCGTCGTCCTCTCCACCCGGAACCACAACGCGCTCGTCGACAACCTTCGCCTTCTTCGCCGGACCGTTTTTCACCTTCTTCTTCGCGTGTCCCTGCGAGGTAGCAGCAGCAGCGGCAACATCAGCAGCAGCAGCAGCCTTTCGCTTCTTTCCTCCCGACTTGGGCGTGGCATCGACTGCCTCATCGTCACCAACACCAACACCAACACCAGCAGCATCCTCATCATCACCATCATCGGCACCAGCATCACCTTTCTCCATTTCCTTCTTAATCTTCTTCGTGATCACCCAAATCTGGCGCTTGAAGCTATCCGGCTTCGAACCTCCGAATTCCAAGGCCGCTTTGTTGGCATTGAACTACAATTTTTTCAAGAGGAAAAAGTTAGGAAAGAAAATTAGCCCCCGACCAAGAAAAATAAAAAAGAAAAGGGGAAGGGGAAGGGGAAGGGGGGGAGGAGAGGGAAGAGAGAGATAGTTTTACCTGATGGATATTATCCATAGCGAGAAAGGCGCAGGCGAGACGGTCGAGATCTCCTTGAGAGAGAATCTTTTTGGCGACCTTGAAACTGAAAGGTCCCTGGAGTTTTTCGCCGGCCATTGGTTCGGGAGAGAAAGTTGCTTGGTTGGGTTTGGGTTGGGGGTTGTTGAGGGTCTCCTTTTGTTGGAGGTGTGGGTTTGGGGAAGTGGATGGTAGATGTTGGTTGGAGGTTGAGTGATGGAAGAAAGTTGGTTGTGGTTGATGAGGTTCGAGACTAAGTATTGCCTGGCTGGTATGTGAGAATGTGACATATTGTGCAATAGGAAAGTGTTACGATGCGATAGGAAAATGATGCAATAGGAAAGTATTACGATGCGATATAAGAGAAAAGGAAAGATAGGAGATATATATGTGTGTATAGGTGAGAAAGACGGTGATTCTCGAGGCGAGATGTTTGTTTTCCCAAGCGATTAACTGAGCTGGCTTTCAATTACGAGATCGCGCGCGAGCCTCGTAGGAATCGATATACAACAGAGGCGAGTGCAATCGTAAAAAGAGGAAGGAAAGCACGAAGTTTGAAAACGACTTGACGAGAGCGAGGCCCCTAACTATTGGTTCGGGAGAAACTTTTGCTTGGTTGGGTTGGGGGTTGGGGTTGTGGAGGAACTTGTTTCTCCTTTTTGTTGGAGGTGTGGGTTTGGGGAAGTGGTTAGTAGAATGTTGGTAGGAGGTTGAGTAATAGGAGAAGGTGTGGGTTTAGGGAAGCGGTTAGTAGATGGTGGTAGGAGGTTGAGTGATAGGAGAGGGTGTAGGTTTGGGGAAGCGGTTGGTAGATGCTGGTAGGAGGTTGAGTGATAGGAGAAGGTGTGGGTTTGGGGAAGCGGTTGGTAGATGGTGGTAGGAGGTTGAGTGATGGGAGAAGGTATAGGTTTGGGGAAGTGATTGGTAGATGTTGGTAGGAGGTTGAGTGATAGGAGAAGGTGTGGGTTTGGGGAAGTGGTTAGTAGATGTTGGTAGGAGGTTGAGTGATAGGAGAAGGTGTAGGTTTGGGGAAGTGGTTGGTAGATGTTGGTTAGAGGTTGAGTAATAGGAGAAAGTTGGTCTACTTGTACTTCTACTTGTACTTCTACTTGTACTTTTACCTTTACCTTTACCTTTACCTTTACCTTTACCTTTACCTATACTTTGACTTTGACTTTAAGTCTTTGACTTTGACTTTGACTTTTATCTTTACTTATAACCTTCGAGGATTAGTAAGGGTTTTTATATATAGCAGGAGGCTTTTATTTATATAGTAGGAGGCCTCTTAGGGTTAACCCTAAAGTCTAGGCCTTAGGTATTTCTATATAATATTAATAGTACTTCCTCTATCCAAATATATATATATATACATATAGATATATAGATATAGATATATAGATATAGATATATAGATATAGATATATAGATATAGATATATAGATATAGATATATAGATATAGATATATAGATATAGATATATAGATATAGATATATAGATATAGATATATAGATATAGATATATAGAAATATAGATATATAGATATAGATATATAGATATAGATATATAGATATAGATATATAGATATAGATATATATATACGCGGGCGCGTCGCGTATTGCAAGAGTAGGGTATATAGTAATATATAGAGCGTCCTTCCTACTATATAGGAAAAGGAACAAACTAATTCTTATCCTTCGGAAAGGAGAGGGCAGCGTCGTATAATATACCCCTACGCTAAGCATACGCTAGCACTACGCTACGTAGGCGGTCGTCCGATAGCCGATCGCCCGACGACTCGGATCGTACTACTTCTATAGCCTATCCTGCCTTAGGCCGGCGTACCTTAGGCTTAAATACCTAACTGCCCTCTAGGGCTATATACCTCTAGGCCTAGCTGTTATATATATACGGTCGTAGTATATAGTCTAGTATACTACCGATATTACAAATACAGCGACGTATTACGGACATAGCGACATATTATAGATATAGCAATATATTATAGACGTAGCGACGTATTATAGATATAGTAAGGTATTATAGATATAGTAATATATTATATAAGAGTAGGGGTATATAGTAATATATAGAGCGTCCTTCCTACTACGTAGGAAAAGGAACAAAACTAATTCTTGTCCTTCGGAAAGGAGAGAGCAGCGTCTTATAATATACCCCTACGCTAAGTATACGTAGGCGCTACGCCGCGCGGGCGGTCGCCCGATAGCCGATCGCCCGACGACTCAGATCGTACTGCTCCTATAGCCCGTCCTGCCTTAGGCTAACGTACCTTAGACTTAAATACCTAACCGTCCTCTAGGGCTATATACCTCTAGGCCTAGCTGTTATAATTATCTCCTCTTCCTAATAGAGCTATCCCTAGCGATATATTCTACGTATCGTATACAGAGCGTATACAGAGCGTATACGGAGATACTCGTATTCTATATAGAGGCTAGTCGTTATACTAGGAATCCTAGTAGTTACCCTAGGGTATTCTATATAATAGAATATAAGGAAGTCAATAGAATATAGAATACGATAGAAGAAAGCCTGCCTAGCAACAGGTAGTAGCAACGAGTAAGTATATTTCGTCCTCTACGCTACGTCTTTTCCTTTATTCCTTAGTTCTTCCTTAAAACATTTTTTTAGGAAAAACTCTAAGCTCTTCGTACTATCCTCGCAACCTATACGTACGAGATATACCTCCGAAGCGCGCGATAGCCGCAAAGGTACCTAAGAAACCCGTTCTAGAGCGCGATCCGCGTCGCGGTCGTACCGCGGCTAGGGCCTAGAGCGTATAACATTTGCCTCCGCTATATAGAGCATATATTCAAGGGTACGTCGACACCTGCGCGTTGCGTACGCTTTACCTACGTTTCCTTACTAATCTAATAGTAGTAGACGCGAACGGCGTCGTCGAGCGCGCCTATAACGGCGTAATAGCTCCTAGCCGAAAGAAGAAGTATTAGAGGTACGCGAAAGGGCGCTATGCGTACGAACGTATAGTAGACCTAAACCTACTTCGGTAGGCGCGCTACCTACGCGTCCTACGCGCAGCGCTTCGTTCTTATATAGCCGGTATACGCTCGGTATAGGTAATACGGCGCTTGTAGCGGCTAGGGGGTAAGATTCTAGAGAGCAAGAAGGTACTTACCTCTAATAAGGGCAAGGCCGTCGGCGTCTACGAGACGCCGAAGAAGGGTAGTAGTAGTAGTAGTATAGTTAGCGCGCCGGTGTCGAGCGCCCTAGCTATAGCCGACTACCTAGAGATAGCGAAAGCTACCTCGGCCCTTTAGGGCATTTTTAAGCTATAGTACGAGGTAAGTTCTATCGCTTCGTAGTTCGTACCCTGCTCGTAGGTATCGCTAACGTCTATTGCAGATAGCTCGCTTAACCGGCGCCGCCGGTACTGCCTTAGATAGCGCGGTAGCGACTGCGTATCCCGATTACGGTAGTTAGGAGCTGTATCTATCGGACGGCGAGGCTAAGATAAGCCTACCTAGCGATAGCGACGACGACGACGACGACAACGACGACGACGGTACCGGTAACGGTACCGGTCCTACCGTTCCCCCTATTAGCCCTACTCCTACTACTCCCTCTTCTAGTACTACTAGTACCGGTAGTACCGCGGGTACCTAACCCTCTTGTCGCGTTCGGTTAGCCTACGCTTCTAGTACGCTACGCGTGTTTTTAGTATTTTGTTTATATATAGTATTCCTAGCTCGGCCGGTTAAAAGTAAATTGATTCTTAATCGTTCTACCTACGTCTCGCTCGTACTATACTACTACGTTTCCGCTACGCTTCGAACTCGTCGAGGGCGGCGTACTTACTAATATACTCTTTAGGTTCCTATTAATCGAATTCCTCGGGCTAGCTACGCTAGCGTACTAAGTACTATCGGATACCCTTCCTTAGGCGTATATCTAAGATCTTTTCTACCTCGTAGAGTCCCTCTTTATCGGCGAGTAGGAGGGTTCCCTCCTATACGTTACCTACGCGGCCCTTATAGGGCTCGAGGTATAAGACGTAGAAGACGTTATAGATCTGAGATCCTACTAGTAGGGCTAGGCGGTACGCCTGCTTCCCTACGATATTAATTACCTTAAATAGTCCTACGAACTTATCTACGAACTTCTTCGTTAGTACCTTTAATCTTAGGTTCTTAGTAGATAGTAGTACTATATCCCCTACCTTAAACCCTATTATAGTATACTTCGCGTTGAAGTACTTCGCCTACGCTTCGCTAGCATATTGCTAGCGCTTACTTAGGGTTTCGTAGTTCCGTTTCAGTCTCTCTATAGCGTCTACTACGGCCGGTACCTCCCTCTCCGTAAGCTCGCCCCGAGCGTTATATATACTTATCGCTAGCTCCGGGTTGAATCTATATAATACTTTAAATAGTAATATCTTTAATATAGTATAGTTGCTATTGTTATACGCGAATTCAGCTTATATTAGTATACTAGCCTAATCGTCCTACTACTCTAAGTAGTAGATACGCAGATATATCTCGATTATCTAGTTTATCCGTTCGGTTTAACCGTCGGTTTGCGCGTAGAACGCTATACTAAGCCTACGTTTCACCTACGCCTTATAATAGAAGTCTGACTAGAACTAGCTCGTAAACACCGAGCCTCTATCGCTTATAATGCCTATAGATATACCGAACCGTTATACGATTTCGTTTACTAGGATATCTACTAGATCTGCGCTAGTACATTTCTTTATAGTTAGTACGAAGGTTACTATTTTAGTATACCTATCGACGATTATAAGGATCGTATCGTAGACGCAGTCGCTACGCTTACTTAGCGGCAAGTCTATAATAAAGTCCTAGGTCAATTCTTAGAACAGCCTTTCTAGTATAGGTAGTATAGCTAGTTCGCCGTATAGACGGTAGCGTCGCGCTTTCGACTTTTAATAGGCGTCGTAGGTAGCGACGTACTCTACTACCTCGGTAGCTATCTCTAGCTATAAGTACTTTCTTCGGATTAAGGCCGTTGTTTTATCCTTCCCGAAGTATCCTACTAACGGGTCGTCGTAGTATATACGTATTAGCTGTACTCTAAGGGTATAGTCCTTAGGTATATACAGCGCGTCGCCTACCTATAAGTTACCTTTCTAGGCGACGTAGTCCTCGAATACGCCCTAGTTGCTTATCGCCTGCTTATATACTACGCGTACATTAGGTTCTGCCTAGACGAGCGCGCAGATATATATTAGAATCAAGTCGGAGACGTTTACGTACGGTTATTCGTCTTTTGATACTACTTAGGCGACGCGGATAGGCAACGTGCAGTACTACTATAGGTTAGCGTCGGTACTTCTCTTAACGCCGCGGTACAACTTATAAGCGATCGCTAGTAATACAGATACGCGATACCTTCGGACTATCTGCTTCTAGCGTACGTCCGTCCTATAGCTATAGCTTGGTTTGTAGGGTAGGGAGGAGGTTAGTTACCTTACGCGACTCTCGTATATAATCGCTACGTTGCGACGGACCGTCGGCTAGGTTTCGTTTACCTGCCTAGTAAGTAATAGTAAAATCGAAAGCCGCTAGGAATATCGCCTAACGGGCCTATCGACCTATAAGTTTCTTTACGCCTATAAAGCCTCTTAAATTAGCGTAGTCGACGAGTACCTTAACCGTATACTAGGCGCCTTTGTAGTACGGCCGCTAAGCTTTAAATAATTCGACTACCGCTAATAATTCCGAGTCGTATATCTCGTAATTACATTCTATAGGGATTATCTTATAGGAGTAGAAAGCGATAGGGTACTACTTAGAGCCGAAGAGTTAGCTTAGGATACCTATAATAGCAAACGCCGAGGCGTCGCTTTCGATTCGTAGCCGTAACGCCGGGTCAAAATGCCTTAATAGGGGTACTTACTAGTAGGCCTCGTTATAGGTTGGGTTGGGTATAGGTTGGGTACAACCTAACGTTAATACCCAACCCCGCAAATAAGGTAGGTACCTAGCTTATAAGCTGGGTACAACCCAACGGAAAAAACCCAATAGGTATACCCAATGGGTATTGCGATAGGTATTACGTAAAACCTCTTCTAGATATAGAATAAACATAGTAAGCGCTTCTGGAACAGTAATAAGCCTCGTATATACCGTACTGCCTGAACTCGCTAACAATAGCTGCCGACCATGCCTGCCGACTACGAGAATTGGGAAAAAGCAAATTAATTCAGGAGTTTACGGTAAGTACTTCGACATCTCCTTCTATAGCTAATAATACCTGCCGACTATACCTGCCGACTACGAAAATTAGAAAAACCAAATTACTTCAGATCTTAGGCTTATAGTGAATGCTTCAATATCTCCTTCTCTAGCCTAGCTAGAACGCGCATCTAGTGTTTAAACCGACTTTCGGTTACTATATACTGCTGCCTTACTCTCTAGGCCTTACGTATCTCTATTCTTCGCTGGGCCGCTTGGAAAGCCGGCTCCGTCCTTATTAATAATAGGGTCCTTAAACAAGTAGCTCTAAGGATAAAGCGAGCTGAAATTTCTGTCTCCAGTCTGTCTCGTTCGGTAATAGGCTCTTCTACAAGTATACTTAGTATCTTGTCGATACTTCCCCTAGCTACGAATTCTTACGTACCCCGATTATTCGCTTGATCTATAGCTACCGTATACGCTGCCCTTGCTATATCCTCTAATTCTGTTATCTCCTCGTCAAACTCCTACTGCGACTCCTCTTCTTTATCCTCTCTCTCTATATCTGGTCGACTCTCCTAGAGAGAATTAGGACCCGTCTCCTCCAAATCTGGATAATCGAAAGGATTGTAGTCTTGGCTAAGCGAGATATCTTGATCCTAGGTACCTATATCCTCGTCGCTATACTGAAAATCTGCTTGACTGAGCGGTATACCTAGTTGCCCAAAAGGAAAATCTGAATTCTCGGAAGCTATCTCCTCGTCTTCTTCTTCTTGGGCATTAATATAATCGAGGAGAGCCTAGAGATATTTATCCTCTGTCGTTAGGGGTACCGTATTATCGTCCTGAGCATTCTCCTTATTAGCTAGAGGATGACCAGTTTGAACGCTAGGATCAGTATCTGGATCGTATTCCGAGCTCTTATCACCGCTCGAAATCACGATAGTCGGCCTGCTTCTACCGTCTGAATCGTTCAAACCCCTATTATCCTAATCG